CTTTTGCATTGGGTCCTCTCCATCCTAAACTTCCTTCGCCCTGAAAAGAGTTCCCCACCCCCAGCATAGGAGAGTGATAGTTAATAACACTAAAAAAAGAGGTACCATATTTTTTGCTCCATAAGACACACCTGACCATAAGACACACCTAGTTTTTAGAGGAGGAAAGGGGGAAAGCTCCATTTTTGGGGGGGATCAGCTCATAGTTGTGCAGCTTCTTTTGCAAAGGAGAAAAGCCCCATTTTTTTGAGGATCAGCTCAAAGTCGTTGAGCTTACTTTGCAAAGGGAAAAAATCCTGTTTTTATGGGGTTCAACTCACAGTTCTGCAGCTTCTTTAGGAAAGGAAAGGGAGCCATTTCTACAGTTTCCAGACAGATAATCTGATCAGCCAGTCACATGTTGCTGGGGAAACAAACAGCCTGCAGAACATTCAACAATGGAGTCGTGGGCAAGGGGGCCGGGCCGGAAAGGGAGCCAGCGATCGACCACACATTCACTCCATAAGAACCACAGACATTTCCCCTTACTTTTTAGGAGGAAAAAAGTGCGTCTTATGGAGTGAAAAATAGGTACATTGCCACCAAAAAAGGAAAATGGAAACAGGAAAAGCATGATCATAGAGCTGATTATGTCCTGGTGAACAGAGTCTTATAGTAGTATGTCATTGAGCAGAAGATAAAAGGCAGTCGGCCAAAACACACCCACTTCCATGCCATAAAATGGAATCCCATTCCATTTTATCACTTGATCTGTACCTGTTACTTGCTTCAGAACTGGTAGTTAAGATGGAGCGGGATTCATACTCTTGCAGGGACCCAGTTTCTACTCTGCTGTGTGAAAGTGACTTGAGTACCAAGTAGTGAGTTTGTTTGTTTTTTAAAAAAAAACATTGATGTCCTTTTTTGCTTAGTTTATTGTAATGCAATAATGGCTGTGCATATGTGTGGATAGGCCCCAGGTGCCTTAGGGTCAGGCCTCAGATCCAGATCTTTGGATGGTTTGGGGGAGACACGTTCTACTTCCTGACCAAAGCTGCTGCTCACTTTGCTCAGTTTCCATGCTGCTATCCACTACTGTGATCAGAGCTCGCCTTTTAAACATGATCACACTAATCCAGTTGGGAAACTGGTTATACTGAAAGAGGCCCCAGACTATTCATCCGTTGCTGGGTTGAGAACCTCACATACAATTGATCCAGGGGAGCGGGAGGCGATGTGGTCTAAACCAGAGCCTCTTGGCCTTGCCAATTGGAAGGTTGGCTGTTCGAATCCACATGATGGGGTGAGCTCCTGTTGCTCTGTCCCAGCTCCTGCCAACCTAGCAGTTTGAAAGCACTCCAGTGCAAGTAGATAAATAGGTACCGCTGCAACTGGAAGGTAAACAGCATTTCCGTGCGCTCTGGCTTCTGTCACGGTGTTCCGTTGCACCAGAAGCGGTTTAGTCATGCTGGCCACATGACCCGGAAAGCTGTCTGTGGACAAATGCCAGCTCCCTTAGCTGGAAAGCAAGATGAACGCCACAACCCCATAGTTGCCTTTGACTGGGCTTAACCATCCAGGGGTCCTTTACCTTTTACCTTTACAATTAATGCAGTTGTGTTCAATTGAACCCCGCTAGAGAGGGTTGGTGACTCTGCTGATGGGTATGCACATTGCTACCCAGGATCACTACTTCTATGCACACAACCATGTTGCATCTAACTGGAGCTGATTAAGGGCCCATGTGAATTTGATTCCTGCATTGCAGGGGGTGTTCCTTTCAACTCTACATTTCTGTGACTTTATGCACAATGCTGTTATCAGTTGCTGTCCAAGTACTGAAGGATGCCGTGAACCTGCACCCACATCTATTCTTATTTGTCCCACTAGATAGGCTTCGCTGTTATCTGCACAAATATCTAGTTTCCTACCCATGTGACCAAAGAAATGCAATTAACAGAGAATAAAGTGTTTCCTTTAATGAAACAGAAGGGCAGCTAAAATGAAACACATTAAAATTCAGAAGAAAGATTGGAAACTGAGTGCAACAACATATATTTTGTATGTTACCGGGTGTGTGTGTGTTAATCTAACGTCTAAATTAGCATTCAGTTGCAATTAGGACTGTTACCTGATTAAAGAAATCTTGATCAATTTAGTGCATTTAAATAGAGATAGATTTGCATATGAATAAGATACTATTGCTTTTAGATTGTCCATATCATGAAAGGAATAATTTTAGAAGGGACATTCTGTCCTGTGTGAGATGAAAGTGGTTGTGTAGGTACATACACGCACACATTTTTTTTTTAAGAGTGTGGATGGAAAGAACAATCAGAACAGGGAAAACGAGGCAGTGTCCAGTGAATCTCTTGCCCCTTCCGCCTCTGCACACACTCTAAATCTGCTCTGCAGGATAGGGCAACCCGTTAAACAGATTTAGCTGCCCCCTTTCCTCTGAGGAGCCCTCAGCTGAATTAATTGAAAGATGTGTAGGTATATCGTCAGATCAAGAGTCAATCTCATAAAATGACATAACACTCACAAAACACTTTCCAATCATGTAACACTCCTACAGTCAGATGCTACATAAACACATAGAGGGGTTTGTTGTTGTTGTTTTTTGCAAATGCAAATCATCGCCATCGCTTAGAGCTGTTGTTTGTGTGCTCCTAACCATTTCTTATTGCTCTCTCTATTTTTAACGCACCATACGCAAACAGTTTGGAATCTTGTAAAGACTTGTGCGCATTTAATTGTATAGACAGTTGAATGGCTGTTACCATTTACATCGGACTGGCCTACATTGATCTTGTTCTTGAACAATTAGTTCCACATAGTCTACCATTCTGTTCTACAATATCACCTTGAATTGAATTGATATTCTGTGTCAATATCTCCAGGGTGGTGGATGCATCCCTCACTTTAACTAAGACTGAGGGATTAATCTATTGCTCAGGAGAGTGCCACAGATGCGGATTAAGTCCAATCTGGGAGAAGATGCTTAAAAATTGTTCAAAACGGCCACCAGTCTTTGCAAGATAAAAGCCATATATTTTAATGATTCAAAGGAAGGTTTTGCATTGTGATATTTGTCCAATTAATGAAGTTATTTGGCTGTTTTCTCTCATTTTGTTTAAGCCAGGCATGTCCAAAATCCATTTCGGGTCCAGCCCCCCAGTCGATTTAATCTGGCCCCTCTGGCAGTATGTCCTGTGGTAAAATCCTAAAAAACCTCAACCACTTTGGGGGAAATTTCTACAACTTTGAGGTAAAATTGTATTTTAAAAAAGCTTAACAACTTTGGTTGGCCCTCGTGCATACTCAATTCATCAAATCTGGCCCTCTTTGAAAAAAATTTGGGCGCCCCTGGTTTAAGCCATTTCTAAATGTCAGGTGGCTGCAGAAAAAGATAGAGATGTGAAAAAAATCCAGTTGCCCAGTCATACTGGCACCTGAACTTTGACCCTGGATTCTAGTTCAACCCTCCTTAGTTCTTAATTAAAACTACATAGCCCTATATTTACCACATGGGTGGCAGCATGCAGAGAAAAGATAATTGGCTCTTTGCTTCCCATATGCTATCCTCCCCAAGATTACCTCCTCACTGACCCATGGAAATTAGGCTTAAGAAAAAGGTGAATGATACCTTTAAAAATGTCTCATACTCATATTGACTAGGATTCCAGTCTCTTCAGGCAGAATCTCGCCCAGCGGCTAGAGGTTTTCCATTCCTAAGAAAACTATTGTCCATAACTACATGGGTGCCAGGCATACACTGAGCTCCCTGTGAACTGGAGATTCCCTATGTGCAAGCTGAATTCCGAAATGTCCCCGATATGAAGAGAATACTATAGCCTCCTGGTTGGTCCAAGTTCCGTGAGCACATCTTAACACTCTGTGTGCATTGGTACCACTGAATTTCGTTCTTTTTTAAAATCAAAATTGTACATGCACCAAAAATGGAAGAGAAAATGAGAGTGCCATCTCAGTCAGAACATTCACAGAGCTTTGAAAGAATCAGAATGAATTTTGATGAGATGCCCAAAATTGCTGAGGAAAGTCTCACACACCCCTGGGTTATTAGATTGTGCCCAAGTTGAAATGGTAGACAAATGTAGAGGTTCCTCCTCAGCGAAGCATCTGATGATCTCCAATGAAAGTCAAACAAGTCATCCTAACACTAGCAGTATAATAATAATAATAATAATAATAATAATAATAATAATAATAATTTATATCCCGCCCTCCCCAGCCGAAGCTGGGCTCAGAGCGGCTAACAACAAACAAAATAGTCCAACATTCTAAAAACATTCATTATAAAATTAATTAGATCAAATTAAAATCAAATTAATGGCAACCATCAAGCAAAATTCTGTGCAGATTGCCAGAGGAGGGGGTCAGGCTGCGCCCTGACCAAAGGCCTGGTGGAACAGCTCTGTCTTGCAGGCCCTGCAGAAGGATGTCAGGTCCTGCAGGGCCCTAGTCTCTTGTGACAGAGCGTTCCACCAGATTGGAGCCGTGGCCGAGAAAGCCCTGGCTCTCGTTGAGGCCAGCCTGACCTCTCTGTGGCCTGGGATCTTTAGGATGTTTTTATTTGCAGACCGTAAATTTCTCTGTGGGACATACCAGGAGAGGCGGTCCCGTAGGTACGAGGGTCCTAGGCCGTATAGGGCTTTAAAGGTTAAAACCAGCACCTTAAACCTGATCCTGTACTCCACCGGGAGCCAGTGCAGCTGGTATAATACCGGATGGATATGATCTCGCAGCGAAGACCCCATAAGGAGTCTCGCCGCGGCATTCTGCACCCGCTGGAGTTTCTGGGTCAGTCTCAAGGGCAGCCCCACGTAGAGCGAGTTACAATAATCCAGTCTCAAGGGGATATCTGTAGATACTTGTGTTGTATTTTATTTAAGGAAACAAATTGACAATGCAAAACCAACTCCTAAAAAATATTTTCATTCTTGGGTGCCACTCGAGAACCAAAACTTAAAGCTTCCCTTCTTGTTCTTTGTTTACAGATTCAAGACCTTTACCAGATGTAGCCCTGACTGGGAAGTGCACTCGGGAATGTGATGAATACGGCCATTCAGACTCGTGCTGGATGCCTGTCCGCACTTCACCCGAAAGGAAGCAGAAGAGCCAGCCAAAACTCTCCACTTTCATGCCTGTTGATGAACGGGGCAGTCAAGAGAAGCTGGCCAATGGAGAAGCCTCCCTGATGGGTGACCGCAACAGAAACCTCCTTAATAAAAAGTTGACCTCATCCTATGAGACCTTCAGTGCAGCTAGTTTCAGCAAAAGCGAGGAAGCCAACCCAGAGGATATCCCCCTCACACAGACAGGGGAATACAAGCCATCTCCTGTCAACACTTTAACTAGAAGAGAAGTTTACCTTTAGGCGACAAAGAAGCAACAATACGGTTCTCTCATGTATTGGAAGGGGATAAAAGGCAAAAAACAAACAAAACCTATGAATCAAAATGATTTTAACTCAAAAATAAAGGAAAGTCCATTGAAAATGAGGGGGCTACCAAAGAGACAAAAGCTTGGCCTGCCACTTCTGCCTCCATGCCAGGCATCTGCATATCCCGTCTGCCTGACTATACTGTACAATGTAGAAACCATTGTTGTTCCTGCATGCCCAATTCCCTGCTCACCAATCTTTATTTTCCTAAATTTATGGTTGTAAATTCCTTTCAAGGTAACAAGTCTGAAATTGAAAAGAACTACAGGAACTGTTGTCCCTCATCCCTTCCCCGCCCCCCACTGCTGAAGCATTGCTTAAGCCACTCTGGTTATCATTTGGTGGTTATCTGGGCTTGTTTGCAAGTCGAGGGGTATGTGAGAGAATTATTACATACGTATAATTTTCCCAGGATACCATCTGAATATTGCTGGTTTCCATCAGAGAGATATGCCTCCAGAAACCATTCAAAATTAAACATATAAAGGGATGGTTTTTCTTTTTCTTTGAAAGGAGCACTTTTTGAAGGTCTCGGCTTTAATCCTGTTGCGTGGCTGGAAACAGCAGAAAACATATTCAGTCTGAGATTATAATCCCAAATATGACATGTTTCCCTATAGTCTGTTCAGTTTTATCCATAACTACTATCTCTGCCTGTGATTTCATATTCTCTGACATTATCCTCCTCCTCTTTCTCCTCCTCTCTTTCTGTGGCATTTTAAACTTCAGCATAAACAAAATGATGGTGGTATATCATGGCGTCCTAAGGATAAACTGCTATACTGGTGTCATTTTTACAAGACCGGCATTTAGCTTGGATGACCACAGTAACTAAAAGGCCAAAGAAAAAACTGTGGATCCGGAGAATTGCTCATCGGTCTTGGGCTTAGGAAATCTGACACAGACGCACACAAACACATAAGCGTATTTTCCACACACATTTTGCACAGCAATCTATGCTGCAACCCAGATGACGTAGCCGTTTCAAAATGGATGTTAGCTGAATCCCCAGAGGAACTGGTCACACGAGCTAGCTGGTGACAGCATGGCACATCATAAGCTACATAGAGTAAAAAGATGCTCCCGTTCCAGGGTTCGTTCCTTAGAAGGTTTCATATCCATTCAGGATGAGCTCCAAAAACACGTTGAGAGGGAAGTCTGAAAAAAGAGCAAAAACAAAGGCAGTGGGAAGGAAGAACATGCTTCAAGTCAAGTATGGCATCATCTTTGTTGAGAGTGGATGCTAAACCTTCGATTATCAGTGTTCCAGGTTAATCATTTGCTCTTGGCAAAGGTATTATGCAGGTTTTCTTAATACACAAGTGCATTTAAGCTGAGTCCTGTGCAATATAAAACCAATGTTGAGACTCAAGGCGACTGGTGGTCTTGAGTGATGTCACCACCGACATGCTCTGTGCAAAAACAAGTTTTGCTTGTGACAAGCTTCAAAAAATGAATAAATCCAAACCTGATCATGATGGTGCAGAGCTCTGGGCTGTGACAGTTCTCATAGTTTGCACTATATATAAAGTGGATAGGAAAATGGACCAGATATATTTTGTGCAATAAGGAGTTACAGAGTGTGTAGAATCTGAACTAGTTCTGTATTGATAATGTTGTAGTAATAAAGAATGGCTGAGCTTGGACATTCGAATCAAACTGACAATCGGTCGATGCAGTGGGGACAGCTTGAGAAGGGGTGCAAAGACAGAAACCAGCCCCTCTGGTTGTTTAACTTGGCATTAAAGCATGACTAGATGGTTCTAGTAGATTGTAGTGACAAGATAGCTTGGGTAGTTTATTGCTTTAAAAAAAATGACATAGAGTATAATATTAAACAGTCTGAAATGTGAGCTGAACAACTGGTACAAACTCATCACAACTTTTGTCTTTTCAACTTTCTATAGCAAAGTGCCCTTTTTATTGTACATCTTCCTTACTTTTTGTATTTTATTTTGAAATTAGTTTTTTTGTGTAGCAGTTACAAATGGGCACATATTATAAAGGGGAAAAAATTAAAAAGAGGTTAGGAGTGATTGATCATTCTAATGCATAGTTGCTTTTTAAAAAGAAAATTCAGAGATGCAAATTTGACTTCGTTAGAAGACTGATTAAATCCGTTACTGCATTGTATAACCTTTCAGTATCTGCCAAGGATAAAAGGCTTCTCATTTACATTAAAACTTACACATTTCTTGCAGGTTTCAACAGAAAATGCAATCATATCACCTCACTGGTCAAGAGAACTATTTTTAAAAATAAAACCCTTATATATTGAATATCCGCTTGAGAACCATTAGATAAGGCAGATCTAAACAAAATATCTTTCTTTTTAACTTTTCTGGAAAGCCAATACAGATCAGAGAAGCCCTTCAGGATTAACTGGATCAGAAATCACTCCCCATTTTGTGCGCTAAATACAAGTGAATCTTGTGATTGAGGAAATTACCTTTTTATTCATAGAGCTAAGAAGGGCACAAAGGGATAGCAAAAAATACAGTGTACTTGTATGTATTTGCAGTAATTCTAGTAAAACCTAGCCATCAAACCATAGTCAATTGCTTCTTATGACCCAGCATGAGACACAAATATATTTTTGTGGTTTTTTCCCCATTTGAAATTAGTTAAATCTGGTGACACTCCATATATAGAGTGCTTTTGTAAAAAATAATAATAATAATAAAATGAAAGTGAAAATTTTTAGAGTGAATGCAAAATATGCAACTGTGCCTTTTATACCTGTTGTTATGGTAAACATGGTGGTTGGGGTTGGACACTAAAAATTTATGGGCTATTCCCACATTTTTTGAACCTGTATATTTAACCATGTTTATTTTCTGAGAAATAAAAGATGATATATTTAAAAAATGCCTTCTACCAAACTCAGATAATGGACCAGTCTTAAATATAATTCATTATTAAAAACAAGAATGTGCTTTTGGAATAGGACGTTTGTTAACTGAGAGGAAAAAAGTTACTATATTTGTCTCAGTAGCAAGATGTTATGAGTCTGTTTGGTAGAAAACTTGATTTATTGCTTTTTGGAAAAAAAATCTTTTTAGCAGTTTTTTGTTTGTTTTCATTTCATGAGACAACTCCTATTGTTTGCTTTTTAATTTCACAAGAAGCTCAAAGAAACTGTGCATGTCTTTTACATTGGACACATTTAGAGATTGACGCATCACTTATATAACTTTATACGAATTAGAAAATGTCGTATTAACTTCAGTCTAAACTCTAATGCTCATTCCAACCTCCAGTTATGCTAATATTTAGTCAATCTAATTTCTGACTGGCCTGCTGCCTGAGTTTCAGAAAACAAGGTAGATGCTATTTTTCTGTGGGGGAAGAACTCAAAGGAGAGATTGAAGGTGCTTGACTGAAAGACTACCCTGGGGAGTTGTCACATAGAAAACAAAACAAAACACAAAGATGTAGGAAAATGAAGAGAGGGGGCAAAATGAAGCTACCATAAATGCAGCCATCACTAAAAGACTTTTACGGCATTGGAAGAGTTGAAGAATATAACAGTTTTGCTTATATTCCATCACTGATAAAAGATCCACTGTTTCCTTAATCGCTGAAAGAAAGGAGATGGACAATGGTAGAGACGAACCTCATCCCAACATTAATGTTGAGCAGTTGCCTGAAGAGCATAGTATAAGGAAGAAGGAATCATTTTTCAGCTACCTGGGGTACACTTTCAGACATTTCTTGTCCTGAATTTCGAAGCACTTACATTCAGTGTGGTTACGATCTGTTTGTAATATTAATCATTGACTATTGTTCTGCAACTTGGATGTTGATAGTGAAGCAGAGAACAACTTATCATTGTTTATTATGAGTCACTATGCACGCAACTATGCTAAAAAAAAAAGAAACATGGCAAAAATGTATTCAACGCTAGTCCACCTCTATTTATGAAAGATTTTGCATAATTTAATTTGCTTTTGTACAGTTTTATGTAAATAAATTGCTTGTCATTTTTGTCTCTGCAAATTAAAATATAACATGTTCAAATGGTCACCCATTTGTGTGCTTTCTACGTGGAATATGGAAGAAAATGCATTCACGTGTAAAGACAGGAATATGGAAAAGGTGGTGCTATTGTGGATTAACTGTTTACAGATATTCTTCTATGTCATCATCAGAGAACAAACTCTAATTATATGTGATTCATATGATAACACACATTTTAAACCTTATATGTGTGCAACTGGTTTATCACCCAATAAGAAATGCATCTCAATCTTATTCCATCCCTCCATCCTATCCCGAATAATGTGCTCATATTGAAATTGCTCATCAATGAACTTCCTAGGCTTTTAAGCCTAGAGTAATCTATTAAGAACAAAGTAGTTCTTCCCCTGCTTCCATCAATCAAGATTCACTGTTCTCTGAGCATGGCTGGCAAGTGACCTTATTGAGTTTCCTCACTTTGACTTAGGGGATCATAAACATGATTATGAGGATGCACCAAAGCTTGGATGATTTCCCCTTCTCTTCTGACAATGCCCATTGCACTTGTCTTCACTCATGCAACTCTTCACCATCACTGTTTTTTCTGCATATGCCAACTGCAGATGTGGCAACCCTCTCGTCCTCCAACACACTCTGAAAAACTGTGTACAAAAGTATTTTCTGTGGGAGAAAGAGCTTCACTCTTTCTTGGAGTGAACCTTGTCTTTATATACCTTAGAACAACAGCAGCAGCAGCATACCCTCCAACATTTCTCCAATGAAAATAGGGATGTTCCATTCCATAACAACAATTTTAATATTTATACCCCATACATCTTACTGTGGTGCCCCAGCCACTCTGGGCAGCTTCCAACATATATAAAAACATAATGAAACATTTTTTAAAAAACTTCCCTATCCCTTCAGATTGCTTGGGGGTCAGATAACTCCATACCCTCCAACATTTCTCCACTGGAAATAGGGCCATCCTAAGGAAAAGTGGGACATTCTGGGATCAAATCAGAAACCGGGACAGCATCTCTAAATCAGGGACGTCCCTATAAAATAGGGACACTTGGAGGGTATGCCAACAACAATTTATTCATTATATCCCACCCATCTGACTGGGTTGCCACAGTCACTCTAGGAAGCTTCCAACATAATATAAAAGCACAACTGAACATCAAGCATTCAAAACTTCCCGACACAGGGCTGCCTTCAGATGTCTTCAGAAAGTCGTATCATTGTTTATGTCTGTCACCACAACCCTAAGGTTAAGACTCTCATGCTCTAACAACTGGGCTGTACTTCAGGCTTGGGCCCCTGAGATTTGCATTGTGTACCTGCCTGCCAAATTAGAAGTCCAGCGACAAGAAGTGGGGGGGGGGACAAGCCATTTTCCCAAAAAACATTTCTTGGTCAAAACCCTTTCCAGTAGACCCTTTCTGCCACCATGTTGTGGGTTGCAGCAATCTATTCGCCGGTAGGAGATGGAAGACTGCATTTTCTTGCCACAGCACAGTTGGTTTCAGTATTTTAATAAATTAAATAAAACAAGACAAACCTCTCTAAGCAGTTTGCATAAAATGATGTTAAGAAGAAAATACAGATAAAATCAATCAGACATGAAAACATGTAGACATAGTAATGTTATCATAACATAAATAAAATTAAATCTGTTGATCTTATCTATTAAATCGATATCCCACCCTTCTTTCCAAAGGAATGTTGTCTTATACACACACACACACACACACACACACACACTGAAAAAACAATGGGTGTTTTTTTAACAGGCATTAAAAACAGTATGAAGGTGTTAACTGCTGCCAAACTAAATGACCAATTCCTTTGAAGTGCAGAATGAACATTGCATGGCACTTGTAAAAGCACCAGTTCTGCAGAATGAAACAGTTGGGTGGATGCAAATGGAGATGCAAAAGGCGATCCTTCAAGTAAACTAGCCCCAAGCTACCGAAGGCTTTTAACACCTTGAATTTGGCACCGGGGAAGATCATTGAACAAGAGTGGAATATGCTGACAGGGTCTCACTTTTGTCAGAATTTGTGCTGTGCATTCTGCACTAACTGCAGTTTCCAGACCAAGTACAAGGGAAGCCCCGCAGTGCATTGTGGTAATAGAACATTGAAATTACCAATAACTGAACTACTATGGCAGATCATAAAAGTGTTCCTATTTTCCAGGGACAGTCCCAGATTTACAGAAGCCGTCCCAGTTTCTGATTTGATCCCAGAATGCCCTGCTTTTCCTTAGGATGTCCCTGTTGTCCTTGGAGAAATGCTGGAGAATATGGAATAGGATGTCCTTACTTACATTGGTTCAAGCGTTTGCTGTGGTCAAGCTATCCTGTTCCAGAATAGGCAGGAAGAATGGGGCAGTGGTACTGAACTTATTTAATACTCTTCCCCTAAAAATTAATACAAGATTCTAGAATGGTTGCTGTTTATATAACATGGATATAAGGCAGCCACCCTAACCTACTGTTTCCATGAAAGAAACAATCATTCTTATCTGCCTTCTTCACAGCTCTGGGAGGGCTCCAGCAGGGTCCTAAAAATAAACCAACACAGCCGAAGGCTTAGCTCTTTTTAAAAAACTTAACAAGTATTTTCTGAGATTATTACTTTTAAACTTTTTCAGAAATTTTCAAAAATATACGTTTCAAAATCTTGCTAAAATCTGAACTGATGCTCAATTTCTCGTCAGCTCCAAATAAGCAAGCCCCCTTTGCTTAGATCTGCAAATCACATTAGATGTAGAGGTCCTTTTATTAGATCAGAGCAAAAACTCAGAACTTCAGAGATGCCTGCAGGGGTCTGAAATGGCCAGTGTTAAAATAGCTGTGATCCAGCAAGCTGCCTGCACAGCTGGGTCCCACTGTTGGGTACAGAAGGCAAAGCACACAAAAGGAAAGCCAATCCATAGCCTTCAGCAGAGAAGACCCTCCTGCCCCCTCATGGTGCTGACTTACTGAAACGTAGCCTTAATCGCTAGAGGGAATAAGATTAATTAGCACATCAGAGAAGCAGAGATAATTCCAGATGTGCAGATATGTTTCTGAGAAATATCATCTTCATCAAACCTTTTATTGGCATCACATCCAAGAAATATGTTCCGGGTGCATGTCAGTGACAGAAAAAGAGACCTTCATTTAGAAGTCCTAAGAGTTCTAAGAGACCTAAAAATCAGGCTACATGTGATACTCTGCCAGTAGTTTTCTTTCAAGTGGAGAAATAATTATGAGATGCTGCAACTTTGAGCAGGAGATTGGGAGGGGATTTGCAGAATCCTGTCTCTTCTTTCCATTTTTGCACCCAAAATACAGCTGCTTTCCCCACTCCTTGAGATGGGAGAGAGAGAGAGAGAGAGAGAGAGAGAGAGAGATATCCTCATATTTGAGTAGGAAAGCAGATTGGAGGATAGTGGGGAGGAAATGGGAGATAAGTTAAACACTCCTTTCCTCTGCTGGCGCTCTGTTCAAGGGTATAATCTCTAGAGCAGGGTGGTCCAACTCTTCATACAAAATGGGGCATAATAGTACTTTGACCCAGAACCTGCCTTGTTGATGCCCCTTGCCCAGCCGTCATGCTGCCTTCCTAAAAGCAGATAAGCAAGTTACAGGGCATGGGAAGAAGGCATGAGGCTCTGGCAGGCTCCTAGAGCCCTCCCAGCTTCTTTCCCAAAGCTGGGAAAGCACTAACTAGCCTTTGGGAAGGAAGCCGGAGACCTCTAGAACCTTGTCAGAGCCCTCACAGAGCTGTGAAGAAGACATAGAAAAATGAATGTTGGATAAGAAAGTGAAAAATCAAGGCATACACAAGTCACATTTGTGACAAAAAAACATAGAAACAGTAGATTATGGTGTATGTCTTATATCCATGTTATATAAACAGCAACGATTCTGAAATATTGTATTAATTTACAGCTAATCCACCTGCTTTGCAGGTGGGGCTAAACACTGAAAGTAGGGGCAATAATGTGCCGATATGTAATAAGTTATTTTCTTATATATTTTTTCAACTCTTAATTCTAATAATAACCACTCTTTTAACTAGAAATGTGAAATCCTCTGCATGTTTTAGCAACAACCTGGCTCTGCTGGTGTTGCAGATCTGAAAGTTTTATTTCTGATAAACAATCTCTGGAAACTTTATTTTAAGCTGCAATGTGCAAGCCTCCACATGTTTAACTAAATGTAAAATTAGCAAAGTAACTCTTCAGGCTTATCAGAACATCCTATTTGCCCGTAAATTCTAGCATTGGTTCATTTTAAACAGAGTTAATCTGTTGCAAATGCCAGTTCCATCTATTTCTAGGCAAAAATAAAATGCATGACTCACCACATCATTTCTCTTGCTGACTTGTGTGATGCCCCATGATGATGGAAACTAGGTACCCATCTGTCCCCATGCTTGAATCCGCATAGGTATCTTCCAGACTTCAAACTTGTTGTTTGTTCCCTGTCACTGCTAATGTGTGCCAAGCTGTCTATGAACAAAAGCATGTAGAGAAAAGAGAGAGTCATTGCTGAGATCAGTGGCCACTGCCCCATTGTTCCCTACAAGATGCAGATAAGTTAGAATGGGGCTAAAAGATCACAAAAAAGTTGTAAGTAAATGCAAGAAACTGACTCAGTTCAAACATAACTCTCTAAGCCAGGGGTCAGGAAACTTTTTCATCAAGGGACTGGTCCATTGAGCCTCAGACCTTGTGGGGGGACAGACTATTTTTTGGGGGGAGGTGTGAACGAAAAAAAAGAGGCCCATCCGGACCTCCCACTTCTGACACCAGTGTTGCAGGCCACCGCAATCTCCAAGTGTTGCAAGATTCCAGGAGTTCTAGGTACTTACTAGTGGGACGCAGGTGGCGCTGTGGGTAAAAGCCTCAGTGCCTAGGGCTTGCCGATCAAAAGGTCGGCGGTTCGAATCCCTGCGGCGGGGTGCGCTCCCATCGTTCGGTCCCAGCGCCTGCCAACCTAGCAGTTCGAAAGCACCCCCGGGTGCAAGTAGATAAATAGGGACCGCTTACTAGCAGGAAGGTAAACG